GAAAAATAAAGAAGAACCGCAAGCTATGGGATCAAGATTCATCCTTTTCATTCCAATTTCGTGGGATAAACATCAACTGAGGTATAGGGTTCTTGATTCATGGAATAGTTTCTTCATGAGCCCTTCAAAACACTTATTTCGAAATTGATATCTTGACTAAAAACTAGGTTTCTATTCTAGCCATGGGTTCATCTGAAAAACGTTTTCATTATGTTATTTGACTTATAGTATGGATTAATTGATGTTATTTGGTGATTTCTATTGTAAAAATCCCCATAAACACAAGTGCACCCCCATGACCCCAATTTCATGAATGTTACTGAATGTATTGATACAAGATGATTACTATGAATTGTATCTATGATTATTTAGTAGTTGAATCTTTTTTTCTCATGCCTATTTTAGTATCTTTAGGTGTAATTGTAATAAAGATTCATGACCTTGAAAGGAGTAAAATTCTAGGGTTATGTACATATTGAGGAATGTTGTACATGAACTTGGGATTTACTTGAAAGGTAAATGTTCTATGACAATAGTGCAAAGTGAGGTATTACTAAATGGTCTTTATTCGCTTAACCCTTACATTGATGTTGCATGAATTGCTTAGAATGAAGTTAATGTAATGTGTTGATTGAAAGTGCGATTCTCATGAAGACAATATAAATGATAATGTGAAAGTTCTACTCACATACTAATGTTGATTCTAGGTTCAAAGTGCATTCTCACCTAATGAATCTATGATCTACTAATTGAATTGTATTTAATGAAGGGTTGAATAATCCTTCACACGTGTAGATACACTTGAAACACTAATTATATGAATTTGGGAAATAATACTAAGCACCGAGTGGATATTGTCAATGAGGAAAATACCCGGCCTTATATTAATGTAAGAGGCTGGGTCATCTTAGTTAACTCATGAGATGTGAACTCCACTGGTAATGCAAGAGGTAGGGTTTCTAGAAGCAATTTCCCTATCCCTTAACTATGTGCCAACATAGGACTTAGCTAGTGGATCGACCTTATGGTTATATACTTATTTCTACCTTAGGCAAGTAGAACACCTCTTTTTGTTGTGGGGTTTAGACACCGGATTCCATGTAGCTCTCATGGTCTATGTCGGTTATGGTTTTTATTCCCTAAATATTGATATAATGAATGAAGCATGAACTACTCTATAACTTCTTAGTAAGTTTGCTAAGTATGAGTGGGGGTATGGGACTTCCACTTGTACATTGCACTAGTAGACTTGGTGGGATGTTGTAGATGGTTCATTTATATTATGTTATGACATGAATGTATGTATATTGAATGGATAGTTTCTATGAATGACTTTTCCTTATGTTCAAAAGGTATACATGACTAATTCTCTACTTATGATTATTGAATGTGATGAAGACTAAAGGTAATATGAGTTATTAAGGTAGTTCCTAAGGGATGTTTAGTAATTAAGGTTGGTATTATGGGATGCCAACCATACATTGCACAAGTGAACCTTATGGGGTTGCTAAGGTCATGCCTTTACTATATTGTGAATATAGTTGTAATATTGGTTTGTAGCTTATGTTGATGTTGCAAATTTCTTTCAAAACCTCATAAATGCATATCTTTCATAAAAATGTCCTTTTTGAATGTTTTAAGGTTTTTATGCATATTTCCATGCTTAGTACATATTTTGTGCTAACCCCTTTTTCCCTTCTACATCTTATTAGTGTAGTTCCGGCTAGGTGACTTCCACCCTCTACTTTGAAAAAGACTTGGAATAGACTTCTCCAAGACTTGTGGTTGGTCCTCAGGATCCGAGGACAAGCATTTGAAGCCACTTTATGTTCTTTCTTATTGTAATAGACTTTGTAAACTTTCTATGTACTTCTTTCTATGAGACCATTATGTCTAAAGGGCTATTGACCCTATTTTAGATTCTCTATTCTACTTAGATAGTGTATGAGATGAATAGTCTAGATTCCTATTATTTTCCTTTTATGAAAATCATGTTTGAACTTCGATTGTCATGTTTTAATTTTCTGCATTATTTGTTCTTTCTTATGTCATAATGATGCTAGGGCTTGTATGAGGCCCTTTTGGGGTCGGCTACGCCATGTTCACGTCTAGGGGGTACCCCTGGGTCATAACAAACTTGGCATCAGAGCATAAGTTGTTGGGATATTTTTTAGGTTGATGTCTTATACACCGCGTCTAGTAGAGTTTTATTCATGAGTGTGAAGCGCGTCACTCTTATGAATAGGAGGCTATAAGATGTTTAGGACCTGTCATTTTCTTCATTACTCTTTAGTCGTGCTTTGAAGTCCTTACTCTATGAAGTCCTTTCTCCTAACCCATTTCTTGTGCTTATAGGCTATGAATACAAGAAGGGCAAATGATAGAAGAGTCGGAGCGGAAAATATGAATGAGGAGGCTCCCCCTCATGCTCCTCAAGACCCTCAAGTCCATATAGATGAAGGATCTATGTAAAATGTGGAGAGAAGAGCGCCGCTTCACACCTTAACTCAACTAATGACGGTGCAAACTCAAGCGGTCACCATACAAGCACAATCCTTGACGGCCCATGCTAACCGAGATGTGGGGCCTTGGGAAAAACCCTCGTGAAAAGAGAGAGGCAAAATTTGAGGAGTTCATGAATCTCCACCAAGGAGGGATGAGTGTCCAAGAATACTCTTTAAAATTCCTGAAGTTATCCAAATATGCTCCCTCTTTGGTTTATACTCCAAGGGATGCAATGAGTCGCTTTGTCACCGGTGTGTGCTATGCCATTGAAGAAGAATGTCGAGCGGAAATGTTCCATGAAAACATGGATATCTCTAGGTTGATGGTACATGCTCAACAAGTGGAAGAGTCAAGGCCTAGAAAGAAGAATATAGAGGTGAAAAGGCCAAGGGCCGATGAGGGAAATTCATCTAAGGGTATGTTTGAAGGTCAAGGTAAACCACGGTTTAAGAAGAGGTTTACCAACCAATGCCCCTCCAATGCTCCTAGGCCTAACAAAGGAAAGGTGGCTAACCCTAAGCCTCAAGGAGGCAATAGGAGTGGCTCTTGTGGTTAGAAGCATGAAAGGAAATGTCTTGCCAGTATGGGTGTTTTCTATGGATGTAGAAAAAGTGGCAACCAATTGAAAGATTTTCCAACTCGTATGACCAAGGGAAGAGAAGGTAATCAAGCTCCTCCTAGTGGCTCCAACTACGATGCTCCAAAGAAGAATCGCTTTTGTGCTCTTCAATCTAGGAGTGATCAAGATGGTTTTCCAAATGTTGTTACCGATATGTTACAAGTATTTTCAATTGATTGTTATGCATTATTAGGTTAAAAGAACCTTTTTCCGTGTCTACCCCGGTAGGTGATTCGGTTATAGCTAAAAGAGTGTATAGGAAATGTCCTATCTCCTTGTCCCATAGAGTCACTTTGGTTGATTTGATACAATTAGATATGTTGGACTTTGATTTCATTTTGGGGATGGATTGGTTGCATCCTTGTTTTAGGTCTATAGATTCTAGAACCCGAGTTGTGAAGTTTCAATTTCCTAATGAGCTCGTTTTGGAATGTAAGGGGGGAAACTTAATCCCTAGAGGTCGAATCATTTCATGTCTAAAAGCTTGTAAATGATTTCCAAAGAGTGTATCTATCACATTGTAAGAGTTAAGGACCTTGCATCCGAGACTCCTCCTTCAGAGTCGGTCCTTGTAGTAAGGGAATTTCCCGATGACTTGCACATTATCCCTCTCGAATTGGAAATTGACTTCGGCATTGATCTTTTGCCGGATACACACCCCATATCTATTCCCCCTTATCGGATAGCCCCGACTGAATTAAAGGAATTAAAGGCTCAACTTAAAGATTTGCTAGATAAGGGGTTTATTCAACCAATCATATCTCCATTAGGTGCACCTGTTTTGTTTGTGAAGAAGAAAGATGGGTCCCTTAGGATGTGTATTGATTACCGACAATTGAACAAGGTTGCTATAAAGAATAAGTATCCGCTCCCTAGGATCGATGACTTATTTGACCAACTCCAAGGGGCGAGTTACTTCTCAAAGATTGACTTATGGCCGGGCTATCACAAATTTAGTGTGAGAGGAGTTGATGTTACTAAAACAGCCTTCCGAACAAGATATGATCACTTCGAATTCCTTGTCATGTATTTTGGTATCACAAACGCCCCGGCAACTTTCATGGACCTTATGAATAGGGTATTTAAACAATATCTTGATTCATTTGTGATTTTCTTTATAGATGATATTTTGATTTAGAACACATGAATCATTTGAGGATGGTGTTGCAAGTCCTTAAGGACCAACAATTGTATGCGAAGTTTAGCAAGTGCGTGTTTTGGGTAAGATCGGTTGCTTTCCTCGGTAACATTGTTTCTAGTGAGGATATATAAGTTGATCCGAAGAAAATGGATGTGGTTAAAAATTTTCCTAGACTACTAAGTCCCACCAATATTCGAAGCTTTTTATGTTTGGCCGGATACTACCAGAGGTTTTTAGAGGGCTTTTCCTCTATTACATCTCCATTGACAACCCTAACTCAAACGAAAGCCAAATTTGAGTGGACAGAGGCTTGTGAGAAAAGCTTCCATGAATTGAAGGATAGGCTTGCCTCCGCTCCGGTGTTGACTTTACCGGATGGTACCGATGGGTTTATTGTATATTGTGATGCTTCTCGACTAGGTTTCGGATGCGTCCTCATGCAACATGGTAAGGTAATCGCTTATGCTTCAAGACAACTCAAGATTCATGAGAAGAACTACCCGACTCATGACCTCGAACTAGCGGCGGTGGTATTTACTTTGAAAATATAGAGACACTATCTCTATGGGATGTAGATGTGTTTACCGACCACAAGAGTCTCCAATATTGTTTAGCCAAAAATATTTGAACCTCTGACAAAGAGGGTGCTTGGATCTTTTGAAAGACTATGACATGAGTGTCTTATACCACCCCAGAAAAGTTAATATGGTTGCGGATGCCTAAAGTAGACTGTCTATGGGACTTGTTGCTGTAGAAGAGGAGAAGAAGGAATTGGTTCGTGATGTGCATAGATTGGCCCAGTTAAGTGTCCAACTACTGGATTCCACCAAGGGTGGGTTCATGGTTCATCATATTTCTGAATCATCCTTTGTAGTTGACGTGAGGTCTAAGCAACAACTTGATCCTATTTTGGTGGAATTGAAAGAATCGGTTCTCAACAAGTCTATTGAGGTTTTTTCCCAAGGGGGAGATGGGGTGCTTAGGTACCAATGTAGGTTGTGTGTCTTGGATGTTGATGGTTTGAGGAAGAAAATATTAGAAGAGGCTCATGGTGTGCGATATTCTATTCATTCGGAAGCGACCAAGATGTACCGTGACCTACAGGAAGTATATTGCTAGAATGGTATGAAGAAAGATATTACGGGTTTTGTAGCCAAATATCCTAATTGCCAACAAGTCAAGGTTGAGTACATGTAACTGGGAGGCTTGCTACAAGATATAAATTTTTCCACATGGAAGTGGGAGGAGGTGAATATGAATTTTTTTGTGGGGTTGCCTAGTACTACACAACAACATGATTCTATTTGGGTCATTGTTGATAGGATGACTAAATCAGCCCACTTCATTCCCGTCAAGGTTACCTTTTTGGCGGAAGATTATGCTATGTTGTACATCAAAGAGGTAGTGAAGTTGCATGGTGTCCTTTGTCTATCATATCGGATAGAGGTGCTCAATTTACTTCACATTTTTGGAAAGCATTCCAACAAGGGCTTGGTACCAATGTTAAACTTAGTACCGCTTTCCACTCTCAAATAGATAGTCAAGCCGAACGCACCATTCAAACCCTAGAAGACATGTTAAGAGAGTGTGTGATTGATTTCAAGGGTAATTAGGACGATCATCTTCCTCCGATAGAATTTGCCTACAATAATAGTTACCACTCAAGCATTCCCATCGCTCCGTTTGAAGCACTATCTGGTAGAATGTGTAGATCTCCGGTTGGGTGGTTTGAAGTGGGTGAGTTTGCTCTAATTGGTCCCGAACTAGTCTATGATGACATTCAAAAAGTTTGACTCATTAGAGAAAGGTTGAAGACGTCCGAAAGATGGAAAAAGTCTTATGCCGACAATAGAAGGAGGGATCTTGAATTTGAGATTGGTGATTGGGTCTACTTAAAAATATCATTTATGAGATATGTGATGAGGTTTGGAACGAAGGGGAAACATAGTCCAAGATATGTGGGCCCATACCAAGTCATGAAACGTATTGGGAAAGTTGCTTATGAGGTGGATTTGCCAAATGAGTTGGCCCCGGTTCACCCGGTGTTTCATGTTTCCATGCTCAAAAAGTGTATTGGTTATCCGGTGTCCATCATTCCTTTATAAGGTTTAGGAGTTGATGAGAACCTTTCCTATGAAGATTTCCCGGTTGAGATTTTGGATCGGCAAGTGAAGAGTTGAGAAATAAGGAAGTAGGTTAAGGTTCTATGGAGGAATCACCTTGTTGAGGGTGCTACATGGGAGGCTGAGGCGGACATGATGTCATGCTACCCTCATCTCTTTCCTCCTACTCCTATTCAAGCTAGAGGTAAATAGTTCCTCTTGAGTCTAGTATTTTGGGAGTCATGTGTGCTACTTGAATTTCATGATTTCCCTATATAGTGCATGTTCTTGTGGAAATTCCTGTTTATTATGCAATGAGTTTTTGTGATACATATGTTCCTCATGTTTAATTGCATTTTTGTATGACGGTTGAATTTTTGACTCGATGAGATGAATTGATTAATTTGCTTAATAATGTGTTGATGAGATGGCACTCCTTGCTCTATATTGTGATTTGGGCTTACTTGATGTTGGAGAAGTTAGTTCCTCCCATGCTTATGTGAATTAATGACTGCTTGCATATTGAGTTAGTAGAAGTAGTTCCTACTTTCTTGTATTGCTTTGACTACGTTGTGAATGGGAGTTGTAGTTTCCTCCTTGTCGAATAATGCAGGTTGTAAATAGTGCATTTTTGAGTTTTGCACAGTATTGATGTTCTTGCATGAATGGGTTGTTGGTTTGGAGTTGTAACTTAGTTTGGTGTCTTGGTCGACATTCGGGGACGAATATTCCCAAGGGGGAGATAATGTAACACCCCATGTGTCTAATGACCTAAACTAGGGCATAATGTGTAATCGATAGCCTAATGAAGTCTAAATGTATGGTTTAAGTCCTAAAATGAACCTCCTAACTTAGTACTAGGGTTCTAGTGCCTAAATGTCAAGGCACGACCACCTTAGGACCCCCCAAGGGCCCATGAAGAGGACCCAAGGGAAGGTCCAAAAAGCTGTCCAAAACAGCCTCACTCCCGAAAAGGCAACCTACGAGGCGTAGGTTGACTCACGCCCCAAACTGCCTAGCCACAGCCCCAATCCACGAGTGGACAGTATGGAGCTTGGACTGTTTCATGCCTCGTGGATTGGTCTAGTGACTTGAGACTTAGTCTCCTCACAAAGGACTCACATGACCCCTCTCTGATCCAAACCACGAGTGACAAGTACGGTCCGTAGTTTGGACCACACCCCACGAACGGGGACTCGTGGATGGTGGCTTGAGTGGGCTGCCTTAGGTCGGCTAGGTGGGGGTAGTTTAGTAACTTCCTAATTAATTTTTTTAGGGGTTAGGACTGTTTTAAATAGTTATTTTAAGTATATTAAAGTATTATTAAGCATTAAAACAAGTCTTTAACCCCTCACAACTCACAACTCAAAATAAAACCCACTTCCCTCTCATAACATTCTCTCTCTAAACAACATTGAAGAACAAAGAACAAACTCAAGCTAAGGGATCAAGATTTGTCCTCTTCACTACAATTTCGTAAGATATACATCAACTAAGTTATGGGGATCTTGATTCATGGAATAGTTTCTTCATGAAGCCCTTCAAAACTCTTATTTCGAAATTGGTATCTTGACTAAAAACTAGGGTTTGTATTCTAGCCATGGGTTCATCCTAAAAACGTTTTCATTATGTTATTTGACTTATATTATGGATTAATTGATGTTATTTGGTGATTTCTATTGTAAAAATTCCCATGAACCGATGTGCACCCCCATGACCCCAATTTCACGAATGTTAGTGAATGTATTGATGCAAGATGATTACTGTGAATGGTATCTATGATTATTTAGTAGTTTAATCTTGTTTTCTCATGCCTATTGTAGTATCTTTAGGGGTAATTGTGATACTTGATTCATGAGCTTGAAAGGGATAAATTTCTAGGGTTATGTACATATTGAGGAATGTTGTATATGAACTTGGGATTTACTTGAAAGGTAAAGGTTTTATGACAATAGTGCAAAGTGAGGTATTGGTGAATGGTCTTTCTTCCCTTAGCCCTTACATTGAATCTTTATGAATTGTTTAGAATGAAGTTTATGTATTGTGTTGATTGAAAGTGTGATTATCATGAAGACAATATAAATGATAATGTGAAAGTTCTACTCACATACTAATGTTGATTCTAGGTTGAAAGTGCATTCTCACCTAATGAATATATGAGCTACTTATTGAATTGTATTGAATGAAAGGTTGAACAATCCTTCACACATGTAGATACAATTGAAAGACTAATTAGATGAATTTGGGAAATAATACAAGGCACTGAGTGGATATTGTCAAAGAGGAAAAGACCCTTCCGTTAATTCAAGAGGTTGGGTCATATAATGCATGAAGCATTAACTACTTTATAACCTCTTAGTAAGTTTGCTAAGTAAGAGTGGGGGTATGGGACTTAATTTGTACATTGCACTACTAGACTTGGTGGGATGTTGTGGATGGTTCCTTTATATTATGTGATGACATGAATCCATGTATTTTGAATGGATAGTTGCTATGTATGACTTGTGCTTATGTTTGAATAGTATACAGAACTAATTCTCTACTTATGATTATTGAATGTGATGAAGTCTAAAGGTAATATGTGTGATTAAGGTAGTTCCTAAGGAATGCTTCGTAAGGTTGGTATTATGGGATGCCAACCATACATTGCACAAGTGAACCTTATGGGGTTGCTAAGGTCATGCCTTTACTATATTGTGAATATATTTGTGATATTGGATTGTAGCTTATGTTGATGATACAAATTGGTTTTAAAACCTCATAAATACATATCTTTCATAAAAATGTCCTTTTTGCATGTTTTAAGGTTTTTATGCATATTTCCATACTTATTACATATTATGTGCTAACCCCTTTTTCCCTTCTACATCTTATGAGTGTAGGTTCTAGCTAGGTGACTTCCACCCTCTACTTTGAAGAAGACTTGGAATAGACTTTTCCAAGACTTGTGGTAGGTCCTCAAGATCTGAGGACAAGCATTTGATGCCACTTTATGTTCTTTCTTATTGTAATAGACTTTTAAACTTTCTATGTACCTCTTTCTATGAGACTATTATATCTAAAGGGCTATTCACCCTATTTGAAATTCTCTATTGAACTTAGATGGCGTATGAGACGAAGAGTCTAGATTCCTATTATTTTTCTTTTATGAAAATGAAGTTTGAACTTCGATTGTAAAGTTTTAATTTTTCGTATTATTTATACTTTGTTATGTCATGATGATGCTAGGGCTTGTATGATACCCCTTCGGGGTTGACTACACCATGTTTACATCTAGGGGGTACCCCTGGGTCGTGACAGTAACAACCCGTATGGCGAATAAGTGAAACTAGAGCCTAACTAGTGTGTCTTAGAGTTGATGTGAGGTTTGTGGTTGTATCGTGTTGTTTCGAGCTTAGTTTGAGGGGTTAAAAGTCAAGGTACGACTCCCCAAGGACCACCCTAGGGGTCCTTTAGGATGACCCTAAAGCCTAACCCCCAAGGTCCCTTGAAACCAAAAAGCTGCCAAGAATGTTGTGAACCACGGATGGGAGCTACGGGGCGTAGGTCCATCCACACCTCGTGGTCTTGCTCCGTAGGTCAAGGGACAAATTGACATGCTGAAACCCCAAACCACGGACTTGTAGGACGGGGAGTAGCCCAATCTACGGTTCGTAAGTGAGGGGGCGTTGTTTGCACCTGCAAATGTTGTAATCGTTAAGCCAAGTTGGCGGTGAACTGGTAAATTCACCTTAAGTCTAGTTTTGTTGGGGGACAGTTTTAATTAGTTATTTATGGTAATTTAAGGGTTTTTAAAGTATTAAAACATATTTTAGACTTCATTATTTCAAAACCCAAAATACAAAACCT